TTTAATTTTTTATGTTTAGTACAGGGACTTTTACCTGATTTTGGAGCAACTTTAAAAATTCATTAAAAATTGAATTTTGATTGGAATTAGCTCAAGCTTTCTATACAACATAAGAACGTCCATATGTATCAGAAAAAATATATATAAATGAAAAATTTCTCCTTTTAAATTTTGGCAAAATATTTTTGAGCAACTTTAAGGACTTTAAGAATTCACTGATAAGAATCTGATCACTATATGCTGCATATAATGAACACTATAGTCTATCATGATCTCTTATCTCTCTCTCTTAGAGTTACCTTCTGTCAATATGGTGAGTCCTCCTGCCCCTCCAGCTATCAAGAGGAGTGATGAGTCTGAGGGGGTGTGGCAGAAACAGCCGGCCAGCTCTAAGCATGCGTCAAGCGTTAGTGCAGTCATCAAGTTGGACTATGACACATCTGATCCAATTTATGATACACTGAGGCAACTGATACTGAAATTCGTATTGAAATGGATAATGCCAGGTAAGAGAAAATAGAATTATGTGTAAAGAATAATTTTATAATTAATTTTGACAATAATAATAGTATTTAATGTCATAAATAAATTACATGTACTGTAGCTTAACTAGCTTGTGGTTTTTCGAGGGAATTATATTTTGCAAAATTCACTAAATTTCCAATTTATAGATTTTAATTTTGCAAATTCTACCACATGCTGTATTTAATTGATTTTTGCAGATTTTATTTTTGCGAGTTAGGAAGAAATTTTTGAAATTTGCGACCTTTGAAAAAACTACTTACTTATACCATAATTATTAATTTTTGATATTTTTTTCTCCTATTGCCGCTCTTTCTCTCATTAGGTTTCCACAGTAACAGGCCTGGTAGCATACAGCCTAAGGTAGCTAGCCCCAGTCCAGCTCTGGCCAGCAGTGATCAGTCCTTCACTCCAGAGCCACAGGAGATGATGAGGGGGATGTGGCTATCATCCCGTGACAATGTCAACCTTCTCTTTGAGATATGTCATCAAGTATGCCCATGTACTCGTACACAAAGAGGCCTTCTTCCAAAAAAGGGAATGTGACTATTTTATAAAAATTTAGTTAACATTGTGAAATTACTTAATAGACTTTCAGCTTTCATTCTGCAAAGTTTAAAAGCAAGCTTGTGGGCTTTTTCTCATGATAGGTGGAGTAGAAGAGATTTGATTTTTCATTAGTAGCTGTTTTTTTAATGTTTTATTTTCCTTTTTACAGGAGTTTCCCCTTTTATTTATTAATTGTGGGTGTGGGGGTTAGTGGGTGGAGCATGTATTAATTAATTATTTGCTATTTTCAAATACATTGTAGGCTTTTCATCTGCCGTTGTCTCATCCAGGGGTTGTTAATAAACTAACTGAATTATATTCATCATGGGTACAGGTAATTGATGCACAACATATTGCTATTATTTTTATTATAATTTATTATTAGTGGGTGTGTCTGAGTAGAAAGAGACTTTTCCCACTAATATTTAAATATTTTCATATAAAATTTAAATTGATTGGGAATCAGTTAGAACATGTATGTGTATCAGAAAAATTATAAAAATGGAGAATTCTCTCCTAGCCATTTTTGACAAAATTTGGCTGACGACCAAAGGCTATATAGGCTTTTGTCATTGGCCCAATTTTTGAGCAACTTTAAAAATTTATAAAAATGCGAATTTGATCAGAATCAGTTCAAAGTTGATACACAACATAAGATGTATCAGAGGAAAAATTATAAAATTGGAGAATTCTCTTGTGATTTTTGTTGAGATACCCTGCATGGTCTTTGGCCCAATTTTTGAGCAACTTGACAATGAGCAGTATGCCAAAATCCTGTAGGAAACTCTGCACAGTCCCACCTACATTGTAACTAGCAGCAAATGTATGTATTGTTATTTTTAGATGATGGTAAATTATCAAAGATAAATCAAGGGATGCTGAAGGAGTGTTATTCATCATTAATTATATTATTAATTGAAGGGGCTCGCACTGACACTGATACCACCGGAATGAGGTATAAATACTTTACAATAGTTATTGGTGTATTATTTGTTTGTAACCCTTCTCTCTTGTTCCATTCTCTTCTGTTCCAATTCCTTTTTCTCACTCTTCTCTCTCTCAGGTCATTAGAGGATTGTAAATTAACTCCTGAGCATTAGTGACACTTTATAATTTAGTTAATGGATTTAGTTGCATTAGTAATCATCTCTTTCTTTTTCCCTTCTTTGTTATTTTATATTTTGTAAGATAATAAAGCTAAGCTAAGAGCAAAGTTAGGTAGAATTTGTTCATCATTTCCTTATCTCATTGACGTCAACTGGAGATTAGATTATTATATTAAGGTTAGTTAGCTATTCTAGTTATTACTTACTATCATATATCTATTAGAGTAATCATTTGGAAAGAGTTGACAAACCAGTGTATATGATCAGTCTTAATACTGAGGTATCATTAATTTTACTAGTTTTTAATTAATTAATTATTAGGAAAGAAGAAAGTTGTTATGTTTAGTTCCACATAAGACTGCAAGTAGAGGGAGAGAGACTTGTAAGTATTGTTTACATTTTAGGATTTCGTTGGAAAGTTGAAAGATGCTGTAAAGTCACTTGAAAACTTTACTTCGCAATAATTAATATAAACTTAATATTTTTGTACTTGTGGTACTTGTGTGTGGTATTCTATGGTATAGTTCCAAGAATCAGGATTCACTTTTCAGAGTAAATCTGAGTTCTCAGAATTGTTGATATAGGCCAGTCATTCTAAGAATTGCAAACACCGGTTCTGAGGATTAGACCACTCCATTTGAGTATGAATAGGACACTCCTTTTGTGATTTTGATTTCTTGGAATTGTTGGCAACTTATTGTGGTGGTTCTGAGAATTAGTATCACTAGGTCACTCCTTTTTCTTGGAATTGTAATTGTATGTTGTGGGCTATACGAGGCTCTAGACTCGCCTGAACTATGAATTGTCCTAATAGGCTCTGCAGTTAAGTTTAATGAACTTAGTGCACACCCTTTCCTATATGTATAAGGTCAAGATGGATCACCATAGGCCTGGGACTCCCTTAGATGATGCTAAAACCTATATTGATGATTTAATTAAAACTTGTGACAATGGAAGGTGAGTGAGACATGATAATTTGCTTAATTATACAGTTTTAAAACTTAGATCAGATCAAGAAAACTTAGAAAGGTTTCTATATTAATCACTATTATACTTATTAGTTTGTGTCATTCACTATAGAGCAATTAAGGAACTAGAAAATGAAAAAATGATATTAGAAAAGTAATCCACTCTTGATCATTTTAATTATATATAATACATAATTTATGTATGAAAATAGAGAGTGCACAGAGCTGGAAAATAAGACAAAAGAGCTTGACAGGTGATAGCTAGTCGTCCACAATCTGTTATATTATATGTATATAACTATAGAAAATCAAGTGCATCTAGTGAGGCTCGTAAGATGTATGGTGATGTGACAGCAGGAGATTTGACACATCAAGATGTTGTACTATCCTATCAGAGTCACTTCCAAAGTGCACATCGTTATTTGCCAAAACTTTTTGGTGCACAGACAAAAGAAGCTATATATCAAGAGTGGATAAGGGCATCTGAGATCGTGAAGGTAATTTAAGTTTATGATTAATTTTATTAACAGTGATATTATGCTAATTTCAGCAAAGCTTTGATAAAAGCAAAGAACAGATTATTTCTGAAATGATAGCAAAGTTGGGGACAGCATTAACAGATCGTCCTACTGACAAACCATCAGATGGCAATACTACTGACCTCTATAGAGCCTTTAAAGTGTATCTAAAGAAAAATGAATTAAATGATGAAAAAGTATATTAAATAATAGTTATATTGTATAATACCATTTAACACTGCAAACAGATAGAAGAGATCATTGCTGAGAATGCGCATCAAGATCATTTGAAAGATGCAGCTATGATGTTTTATTTTGCAAGAGATATTATTATGCAACTTGACCCTGAAGATTACCATAGCTTTATTTTTGATGGTAAGAAGCGTCACAAAAGTTGCCCACAGAAAC